GAAGGTCGACCTCGTCTGGCGATTAGTCTTTTGAGACTTCGAAGGAAAGGGGTTGTTTCAAGACTCTTCAGAACTTCTAGGTAAACTCCCCGAGTCAAACTACATGTAAATAGGACTAAGTATGCTTTCCCTTCTTGGGTTTTCTTAACTCTATATGTGATTGGGCCGGCGAAATCGACTCCGATAACTTTATAAGGAGTAGTCCCTTCCGTTCGCGTTGTTGGTAATGGTGCAGGTGTTGGAGCTTGATAAGGTTTGGTCATAAACTTCTTGCATCGTGCGCATCCCTTTCGCGACTTTTTTACTAGGCGACGGAGGCGAGGTATCCAGTAGTTCTCACGAATCTTCGCCATCGTCAAAATAACTCCCCCATGGAGCGTCTTTATATAAGCTTCTTCCACAAGTTTCACGGCAAACAACGAATTGCCGGGCAGGTAAATAGGAAGTTGTCCTTGTACTCGTCCTTTGCACTTCAGAATCTCGTTCGCATCGGCTTGTAGGTTTAACTGAACAGAATCATTTTGACATTTTGAATCTTCTTTCGCCTCTGCTTGTACTTGTTTGATCCACCATAGACGTTGTTGGTCAATCTCATCGGTTGTTAATGGACCACGTTGCCTGCTGTCTACGTTCACGCGACTGTTGTCGATGAATATCTTTATCCATGCACCAATTCGTAGGGTTTTTGTCAATGAGTGTTTCCTCAGAATATCTCCCAGGATCGCTGACTCCACTCGTTCCACACCTACATTGAGAATCGCTCTCGTTGCTTTGGATTCACTCTGAGAATCGGCAGATGGTTTGACAACGAGGTTCGGTGGCCAATGACTACGATCTGGCAGCCAAGTAGGACCCTTTAACCAGAGCTTTGTGAGTTGACCACCTCTGCTTCCGAGGTCAGCCGGGTTCTCTGTTGTCGGTACATGATGCCACTCGATTCCTTCAGCATCTCGAATCTTTGCTACTCGGTTTTCCACGAACTGCTTATACTGGCCTTCTCCTGTGATCCACCACAAAGCTACTGTGCTATCTGACCAGCAGTGTTTCTCGTGTGGAATATGACAAAGAGCTCTGCTTGTATTGTTGACCAAATTGGTTACCATGTGGCATGCAACAAGTTCTAACCTTGGTATGGTCAGTCCTTTCTTCGCAAGTCTTGCTTTCGCAGCTAGTAACTCTTTAGTAACACCAGATGGTTGTCTTGCAACTGTGTACACCGCTGCACACAGTCCCTCGCCACTGGCATCTCCGAATCCATGAATCTCCAATTTCTCCACCGGCTCTTGGAAAGGTGCAGTTGGTCTTGGCACTGTCACTTCGCTGGGCAGGTTATCTTCCCATTTCCCCCACCGTTTCTTAATCACTCCTTTCAATTCTACATCCCATGGTAGCTTGTGGTCACATACTTCTCGGCAGACTTGTTTTCCTTGCAACAACAGAAGTGAGGCAATTCCTATTGGGTCGTAAATCTTGGCTAACCGACCAAGGATGCTTCGCTTTGTAGGACTTTCGCTGTTCGATCCCAGTTGCACACTTAGTGTATCGTTCTCTTTTTCCCATTTCACACCCAGGATCTTCGTTTCTGTTGGCTTCACGCCGAGCTGTTGTTTTGCTGCTGTTTGTTCCTCGCGATCTTCGTTGTTGTCACTTTCTCCGTCCAGTTCGTTCGCATTGGATGCCCATTTATGAAGTGAAAAGGTTGCATCACCCAATATATCAGTAGCTTCAGACTTGCGCTGTTTTGCTTCACCAACAGTGTTACCCCCCGAAATAATGTCATCGACATACAGACTCTTCTTCAGCGTGTCGACTGCTTCTGGAGCTTTGCTCTTCCAGTAATTTAAGTGCGCTTCCAAAACTCCGCCAAGCAGGAATGGCGATGATACCAAACCAAACAATACTCTGGTGAACCGCAATACCTCCACATCAGCTAGTGGGTTTTCTCGCCAATGAAATCTCAGCGCATCTCTTTCACTCTCTTTTACACGGATCTGGAGAAATGCTTTCTCCATGTCACCTGTGATTGCTACTGGGAAACTTCGGGCTCTAACTAGTATCTCCCAAAGTTTGTTCTGAAGAGGGGGACCCGCGTAAAGACATTCGTTTAAGGATGGGCTTACAGGAGAGGCTTTCGCAGAAGCATCATATACAACTCGCAGCTTTGTTGACTGTGCCGACTCTCGTACAACTTCCTTTTCCCTTCGCTTCGTTATTGGCTGGTTCCACAATTCCTTGTTGTTTCTGCTGCTCGATCACTGTGTTGTAGTCTTCGATTAAGTCCTTTCGTTGCAGGCGACGTTCCAAAGATTGCAATCGGCGGATGCTTCCCATTTCATTTGACGGTAGTGGTGGGTGGTTTCCACGCCAAGGAAGGCCCGTCTCATACCAGCCCGATGGAGATCTAGTCAATTGTTCTTTGAACTCACTGTAGACCATAGATTGATCATGCTCAGCTGTATCTGCAAGTCCCAACACATCAAGGCGGCACAGGTCTTCATAATCTTTCTGGGATGTTTGAGTAAGAAGCATCGTGTTGTGGTTCAGCTCTACACCAGGGCTCATGGCGAACCACCCAAGTTTTGTCTTCTCAGCAATTGGTTGACCTTCGGTTCCCACTAGAGGATTTGTTCGAGTTTTTATCCGCGCGTACTCACCACTTCCCAGCACAACATGAACAGGTAATTGAGATTTCTGGTCGACATCAATGAACTTTGCTTGTTTAAGGTGATCAAATTCACTTTGTAACTTATCGTAATGAGGATTGTCAATAGTGAGTAGTTCCCCCTTCTCGACTTTGATCAAATTTACATCCATTGCATAATCACCGTCCACTGACTCGACTTTCGCTTCATATATATCCAGCCTGGTGGTTCTAGATATCAAAAGCATGTCAATTTTTGAAGTTCTTGACTCGATCGGTTTCACATTAAGCATGGAAGCAAGTTTGCCAGATATGTATGAGCTACCAGCGCCAGAGTCTATCAGTGCTCGACATGTTATTCCATTCACCTTGACTACCACAACAGGGAAAATTCCTTCAGCTGTGCTTCCACTTGCAGTTAACACTTTTCGTTCAGCAGTGGCTTTGTCATCTCGATCTTTGGCATCACATATGCTTGTATGGTGGCGTTTGTTGCATTTTCGACATGTTGATTTACTGAAACAAGCATTTGCCCGATGTTGCCCTGCTGCACAATTAAAGCAAAGTTTCTTTTTTGCTAAAATTCCTCTCCGCTCGTTGACACTAGTAACCACTTCACATTCCCCCGTCTTGTGCTCGCCTTCGCAGTAGACACATACCCTTGTGGCTTTTGTTTGATAGACTTTACCAGGCTTCCCAAATTTCCCTGATGCATCCGACTCCTTTTCATAAACAGGATTTCGCTTGGTCCACTGTCTGATTGCTTCAGCAAGTTTTGCAAAATCCCAGCTTTCCCAGTCTGGGTCATCCCTTACCAAGTCACCCCGTATAGCTGGAAGCTTATCCAATGTCATGGAAACGTTTCCTTGAACATCCTTCAGTTTATTTAGTGTCTCAAGGGCTTGAACACCATAATTCAATTTCTCACTGAATTCTGCTATTTTCTTTGGGTTGGTTCCAGAAATGTGTGGCAAATCCATGATCTCTTTAATATAGGCTTTGACAATCTCCGGAGTTTTGCCATATTGATCTTGCAAAATTGACTTTGCCCGGTTGTATCCCTCCGCAGTAAATGGCAATGACTCTACCCGGCGTTTAACTTTTGGTCCCAGAAACCCACACAGATATGTAAATTTGTTGATAGCAGCTATATTTGACTTATCCACCGTCTCTGTGAATTGGCCCCAAAATCTTGGCCAATCCATGTATGACCCATCAAATTGCACAATATTAATTTTAGGTAATCTCACTGACATACCTTTCATGCCTTCCCCCGTCTCAGTTTTCGAGGTGTTATGCCCCCCCGGGTTTGCATCCTGAATTTTAGCTTGCATTTGAAGCTTTGTTTCTCCCAATTTCACTTCGAATTTAAGTTGTTCCTCTCGAGCGTAGTTTTCTTCTTCCATCTTTTTGCTGTCTAGCCATTGTTGAAGTCGATTTACTTCGTCTTCAGCTTCACCTATCTTCGCTTCGATTTCCGTATTCCAGTCGCTAATTTCTGCTAGGTCTTCTTTCTTACCGATTTTTTCAGCCTCAACTGTACGTTTACACTGATCTGTTTCGCTTATTGTTGTTTGGAGTGCCTTTAAATGCCGTTCGATCGTTTCTCGTTTTCCAGCATCAAGTATTTTCCCGGTTCTTTGCGCCGTTAATCTCAACTGAGTGAGTTTTGTATCGAGTTTCGCTTCCTCGTTCGCCATAATAAATTGCTCGCTAGCGTCGAAATAAATCCCAAAATATCACAAATATATCCCGTCGGAGGTGCCACGTATTCCGAAACTTTGCCTCAGAATCTTAGTAACGGAATTACGGAATATTATCAAAATAAATGTATCGACGTATATTTATTACATGAATTTATATAATCTCACAGTTTTCTCACATCACAAAAATTCCCATGTTTGTAAAAAATCCCCTCCCCAGCATGTCCTGAGCATGTCTCACAGTTCCTATGACAACGGTGTTTCCACTTTTTTATATATAAATGTCAATTTCCAACATGGGTGACATTTTCACTAACTGTTGTTAATTAACTTTAACTACTTGCCCTGGTCAAACGAGGATGATAGTAACCGGCCTCGCTGACGTCATTATGGCAGCATTGGCAGGCTAGAATGATAGTTGATTACAGTTGGCAAGCGAGAGTTTGCATGAGACATGCATATTCAGCAATTTTCTCCCAGTACAGCAGGCTCGTATTTCCAGCGAAATCCTTACATTTTACACAGAACTGGCAATTTTGTGTAAGATGACCGCTGAAAACACGAGCCTGCATGAGTGAAAGAAAATTCGGCTACATTTTTTGGATGCCATATCAACAGGGTTTTCCCAGGTCAGGTGTGGTCTATTATTTTGCACCAAATGATTTCGATCTACCGAAACCTGTTGCACTGGGTTATTCCGTCTATGACTATTATTCGGGGTTTTATGCATGCAGAAAATGAAACCGCCCTATTATTAAAGGTACTGTTGTGCACATATATTTTATAAAAAAGAGATAGATATGTAAATCTCACAATTTTTTTATCCATCACGGACAAGACCATGTTATACGACGCATTTTTGCCCACTCAGTGGAGCAGTAGTTCGAATACCGAACCATGTTAACTAAAAAGCAGTCGGAGAGAAATTATCAGCATGGTCCATGATTTACTCTACATGGTAGTTGTTCACACATAACATATTCTTAAGAAATAAAATAAATGGGTCATGTTCAGCCTATACGTAGGCCCTTACTCGCCTGGCTTTGGCAGGTTTGGTCAATTTTGGGCTAGAATTTGGTACGTGTAATGTTCGTGATTTCGTATCGATATTAAACACTTCAAGCCAGTTTTTCACTTGAACCGTATTGTACCGTACCGTACCGTACTGTACCGTACCGTTTTCTTTGTTTCCTGAGCACTAGAGTGGAACTAATGACTTCGACACAAAAGAAAATGCTACGATACGGTTGCAAAAGATACTTTAATTATAATAATAATATAAAACAACTTGTGAAATAGTGAAGAACGTATAGAATTACTCCATGGTTTTTAGCCTTGTGCTTCTAAAGTACTCTAACTTTCCAGCCCCATGTGACCATACAGATGACAAAAAAACACTACAGGGGGCATCGAAGGTGAAATTTGGGAGCGTGGTAATGGGTGGCAAATTGAAATCCCGTATGAACATCATATACAATTCTTGGGTTACACTTGAAACCAGAAAAATTCAAAACTATAGAGTCACAAAACTGGGTGTTTTATATGTTTTGCATTACTACAAACATTCCCCCAAAATCATGCAGTTGACGATTAATTCCTTTTGAAAAGATCAAAATTGCTGACATCAGCATTATTTTGGAGCGCTCTCAAAAATGTGTTGTAGACAAAATTGAGGTAAAAAGCTTGGTAAAAACTGCCATAAACAAGAATTTAGAGATTTTGGCTCAAAGTTGCTCTTATTTTAGCATTTTAATTTTTACCCTCCAATAGCCGCGTTCCCTTTCTTTGACTGAATTAAGATTACGATGCCCCCTCTAGTGTTATTTAAAATCTCTATGCATGTGACATAGTCACGTGCGTACTAATGTCAATAATGTCAATAATATCACCCAGGTTCCAGTCTTCTCATGTGAAAAAGCGCTGAATATTAAAAATAAAAAAGGTCTAGATCTAGGCTGGGTCATGTACATAATTGTCCTACAACTATTTCTTAGATAAGATCGCTCTATGTCAGAAATCCCGTTGCAAGTTGCGGCAAAATTGCCTCGTGTATCATGGCCTTATGTCTGCCATAATCATTCGTGCGAGAATGTACAGTACGTGCGAGCGGAAATTTTACCCCATACCACTCCCCCAACTAAAAAACCCCGATGCATACAAACGAATTAGTATTTAGTGAAAGTTATTGTCTAATAGGCAGGTTTATTTTATTGCTCACACTAAATGGAACACCGATTTTGAGTTTCATTTTAATTGCGGACCAGCGCAACTTGTTTTATTAAATACATTAAAAGATTTCATTGTTCCGCAAGTGAACATGAAAACAAGGCTTGTGGGTCATGCACAGTACGTGACTGTAAATTTCCCGAATTAATTTGTGGCAACGATTTTTGAACTTTGAAAAAAATTATTCTTCTATTGCCATTTTAAAACCGTTCGTGACATATCTAAAGCAGATGAAAACAGCTGTCATTGAAATATGAATATTTTAGCCCAACGGACAATTGGTTTTTTGAATTATTTGAGAGTTATGCTAATTAACACTTGGTTACCTACGACACAATATCGTCAGATCCATTGAAAGATGAGTAGAAATCTGTTTCAAGGTGTCCGCATAAGGTGACTGGGCATATATTAAATGCTAGCTAACGAAACTTCTTATGAATTGCCAATAAATCTACATGATCGACTACTGATTCGTGTGTGCGGTAATATTAACCATTACCAATATAAAAAACCCAAAAGACGTTGAAAATTGCTGTCCCCATCCAGCTTTATTTCATCTATTGGCTCATTGGCTGTTATAATTGCGAACGCCATGATAACTTTAAGAAAAGAAAGCGCCATGCATTTTTTGATGTTTCGCTTGATAGAACTGATATATATGTTCAAATTTTGCATATTGTATATAATAAAACAGAACATTCTATGCCAAAATAAAATTTCGTATTGCAAAAACAATTTAAATATAAAGCAAACGAAACTAATTTTATCCTTAAAACTTGGCTTTACTATTTTTCTTCTGCACATATTTTATAAAGATCGAAAGCAACAAACCTTCTCAAGAAAAATTTGTAGATCGCACGCACGAGCAACAATACTTGCGTTTCGAGTGTGTTATCATGCAGTAGAACAGCTGGTGATATAAAAAACCCTCAAATTTGAAAACGTCTTAAACTTTGTGCTTTGCCGAAATAATACACAGTTGCTTAACTTAACGACGTAAGCATGCAGTTGCAACATGTTTGTGGCTTTAGTTTTCGATTCTTGTATCAAGTCGTTTTTCTTTGCTTCTGTCTCATTTTCAGTCGCCTGTTTTTATGAAGTATTAGTATTATTGGCCAATACTGAACGCATGCAGGCTCGCATTACACCATCTGTCCAATAAACGCGCTGACCGTAACCTACTCAATACTGCAGGCAATAACAAATGTTTCTGAGTCAGAATCTCTACCTACTAGTCTACTTTTATTGCTTAATTATTCGTGCATATGAAGCCATTTATCTCAGTTAATACTTATTTGCAATGCCAATTAACTCTCAAATTGGGTAACATTTTCACTAACTGTTGTTAACTTTAACTACCTTTCTATACAACTGGCCCTGGTCAAACGAGGATGATAGTAGCCTGCCTCGCTGACGTCATTATGGCAGGTTAGAATGATGGATGATTACAGTTGGCACGCGAGAGTTTGCTTGAAGCTACGTTTACACGTTACGCCTACGATTTGTCGTGTACGATTCGTATTCTGGCGTATTAAAATGAGTGCTGGCGCTGTAATTCAGTGCCGTTTGGTTAAAAAGAAATTTCAAATGTAGCCAGCTTACGGGTGTTTACTCAATGACATACTCCAGAAAACGAATCGTACACGATTAATCGCAGCGTGTGAGCGTAGCTTGAGACATGCATATCCAGCAAATTTTCTCCCAGTACAGCAAGTTCGTATTTCCAGCGGAAATGCGGTAAAAATTGAAAGCTTTGCATTTTACACAAAACTGGCAATTTTGTGTAAAATGATCGCTGAAAATAACAGCCTGCACGAGTGGGAAAAAAATTGCTAAATTTTTTAGATGTCATATCAACAGAGTTTTCCCAGGTTGTGTAAATGTGGTTTATTATTTTGCACCAAGTGACTTCGATATACCGAAACCTGTTGCACTGGGTTATTCTCTATGACTTTGGAATGTACTATTGTGCACATCTGTTTTATAAAAAAGATGTCTAGATATGTAAATGCTCACAATTTTATATCCATCGCGGATAGTAATATATTCCCACTGGTCGCTTTCCCCGCACAATACCTTTGATTGAGGGAATTCAGATTGGGGATAAATAATTTTCAGCCAAAAGTAGAGTGCGGCGAAGCTAGGGCCGGAAGTGTCGCAGCCAAGGGGAGGTGGGTGCAGGGTCCCAAAAAATTTCAGCGCCGTCCTTCCTTTTCGGTTGCAAATCCGCAAATGCTCAAAAGATACCGATTCTGTGCTACTTTTATACTGTCTGACAATCACGTGGTGTATATGGATGACTAATTGATCATCTCATGCATAAATATTCAAAGTATATGGAATGTGAGAGAAAACTCCCAGTGAGAATAAGACTATGTTATACGGCGCAATATTTGCTCTAACTCAGAGGAACAGAATTTCGAATACCGAGCCATGCATGTTATCTGAGAGTTACTGGTCAGAGAGAAATTGTCAGCATGGTCCATACCGGTTTACTCTGCATGGCAGTTGTTTACACATAACATATTCATAAGAAATGAAATAAATTGGGCCATGTTCAACCTATACCTAGGCCTTTAGTCGCCTGACTTTGGCAGGTTTGATCAATTTTAGGCTAGAATTTGATAAATATCGCTTAGGTCCCAGTCTTCTCATGTGAAAGAGCGCTGAATATTAAAAATAAAAAGCTGGATCATGTAAATAATTGTCACTAGCGGCTAAATCGAGGAATGCACATTTGCCCGACGCCATCTCGAATTCCGCGCAATGAC